TTTAAAGCTTTTACTGCATGCTTTGCATTTTAGCGGAAACCTTCCTAACTCAGCTCTGCATGCAAGGTTACTAGCATTCTTTGTCACCTTGAGGAGCATTTTGCAAAATTTCAAATGAACAAGTTCCATGGGCTCTTGGTCTTTGGTGCTTAATGTTTCGATACCCCATATATAATTATATCTTTTGTCATGAAGAGGGTCTACAAATTTGTTTTTTTTGTCATAAACAGGGTACCCCTTTCAGAATCCCAGCGGAAACCCCTACTCAAATTCTGGCGGAGTACCCCCTCCCGGGTGATTTGCTTTGTTTTCTCATTAAATATTCATGATTTTAGAACTATATATCCTTCATATATCTCAATAGTCAGCTACCAACTTCCTCCATTCCTTTCCTATATAGCAATAATCATTTCTTATGGCAGTAGCCACATGCAGTTATTGAGCGCCTATATTTCATGATCATAGGCCCTACGAGGAAATAGACCTTTTTCCGAATTCGCTCGAGCACGCTTCAAGTTGAGGTTGAACTTGGCAAAATACAATACATGTATGAAAAGACATCAAATCAAGTCCATCCTCGACTTGCTACTCTTCTTAGTAAACCGAGGCAGTTGTTCTCGGAGCTTGATATGATTACTTTTCTCAGAACAGAAGATTTTTACCTTTGGTTTTGTAGTTGAAAAATATGAAATGAGCAGCTATTAAAGCCATAGCTAGCAGAAGAATCAATTGAATGGTCCTCTTTCTGCTTAAAAACATTGCTTTGTTGACGAAGGTTCTTGTTAAAGATCTGCTTTGACAGGGAATCAAAACTCGAACGGAAGCAAGCAAAAGATGTTGACACTTCTAAGATTCTCTCTTCCCGTTATCTCGGTGTGATTTCATACGTTTGGCAATTTAGTACAGGTAATGAGATGATTTCGAGTTAAATTTAGAATGATCACAGCCACTCACAATCAGACGCGCCGATCTAGCGATTGTTTCTGTCGCGTCGAAGAATTTCCATTAAAAAATTACTCGTTGCTGATTGGCTAAGAGAGCAGTGGAGTTTAAGTGCAAAACCAGTGCAAAAATCTGTAATATATAGAGGATATTACATGGGCGCGCGGAGATACGAAATTTAATAAATTTCGTATCTCCAAGAGCCCATGTAATATTAATGTTTATTATATAATTATCCATAAAATCAACTTAATAATCTTTTTATTATTAGAAAACGTTTTTATTCATAAACTAATAGCTTAAATACACATGGTAACGATATTTTCACATGTGAAAATAACAGTTTTTCGAAAAGGAGAAATATAGGTATTTTATGGGTAATTATATGATAAATATATATTTGTCGGGCACAAATGAACTCAAAATCGGTAAGGTTCCTGTAGTTTCAAAATTACAAGTCAGACATTCATCAAACTTGGCAAGAACATCAGGGTTGACCAGACGGTTTTTAGCCTTATTGTTACGGGTATGACGTCATAATGACGTCACCTTAGTATCACTCGAGATCGTGCGATTTCCTATACAAATTAATTTAAGGGTGATTTTTCCTTTGCCCGTGAAAGAATAGACAAATCCTATTGTTTCCTTTTGTTTTACTTGGACTGTTAGTCACTATTGAATTTCACGACTTTGTCGCACGGGCCAAGTAAAATCTCTCTAGCCTGGTGCCGAGAATAAGCCTGAAGCGAGATGACGTTTTACCCCCGTCTTTAGACCATAAACCTTTTCACACTGCTTTTGTTCTTTAATTATGGCTATTGTTCCTGTATTCTCTAAGGAATCAAAA